CACGGCGTGAACATAATCTTTGAACACCAAGCCTTCACACCCGACCACTCATTTCACCATATTGGGTGATTATAAGAGATTTGGAGTCTCTGTAACAAATAGCATTGCAAAAGAAATGGAGTGAAAGACCCCGTGGTTGGTCAGATACAGGATTGGACAGGACAGGTTGGAATTTGCTGTGAAATTTGAAATGAATTTTGAAACACAGCAACTTTGGGGCCCACTTTGGTGTCCCCTTTTGGTATGAGGAACGTACTCCACAAACTAAAGCAGCAAATGCGAATGGCAAGGACCAAAAATGTCACAGAGGGATTGCCCTGTCCATTCAGTCACCAGTTGTTGCGTTAAGCCCACTGGTGTAGCACGTGTAGCACAAACGTTGACAGACAAAAAGAAATGTGCTGGTGAAGTTGATGTTCTATCCACCCTAGCAAAAGCAGTCTTGGTTCAGAAATTTGTTGCGCCAGGTTGGTGGGTCTTCGCTCACAAGCGTGTATCGGTAGCCTTGGGTGTCACTGCATGGAAACAAAAAGCAAAAAAACGGATTTGACGATACACCCAGTCAGTTCTGTACAGACACGTCTCAGGAATGCTCCCAATAATGCTGTCAGCGCTCACCTTTGAAGTCAACAACCAGCACATCTTTGTCTTCTCAATGAGCTGAATTCTACTGCGATGCCTTTTTTTGGCWTTTACTTAGGCGGCCCCCAGCAGGGACCTGACACCAAAAGAAGAGCCGCAAGAAGGAGCGAGAACAAGAACCGCTGAAACACAACTCAAGAAAAGAACCAGCCCTGCACTCAGGTAAACGCCCCCCGCAAGAACGGGCTTTCTTGCGTTTGAATGAAGCTTTCAAGCGCACGAACGAGTCTTGCCGTTCGTGCGCAAGATCCTTTGTTTGTGCGCTGAGGTCACAATGAAAGCTGCGCGTGATTTTGCTTTCAAGCGCAAGATTTGGTTTTCGCGCGCACGAACACAAGGACTATGCCAGGCAAAGCTGTGCTGGATCCCACACAAGATCTTACTTTTGCGCGCACGATCCTGTTTCCTTGCACTGTATCCTGCTACTCACCGCTTGCTCCATCGCCCTTTCAAGCGTTGGATCTTTCTTTTGGGCGCCCAATTCTACTTTCCTGTACTGTATTCCTCTTAAGCTGAATTTCCGCAATTGATTCTGATGGGACACTAACTCATGACCTCTTGCATTTTCAAAGTGGTTGTGAGCCACTCTACTAGCATTTTGCGCGATGACATATACAAATTTTCTGATATATTTATTAAAAATTGGCTGTCTCTGTTCAAGCCCACAAAAGCTGGATCCCGCGCACAAAAGCTGGATCCCGCGCAAGATCCAGCAGAGGTCAGATTGGCACCGTCTCTGTTCAAGCGCACGAAAGATGGATCCCACGCATTAAAGCTGGATCCCGCGCGGGATCCAGCAGAGGTCAGATTGGCACTGTCTCTGTTCAAGCGCACAAAAGATGGATCCCGTGCACAAAAGCTGGATCCTGCGTGGGATCCAGCAGAGGTCAGATTGGCACTGTCTCTGTTCAAGCGCACGAAAGATGGATCCCGCGCACAAAAGCTGGATCCCGCGCGGGATCCAGCAGAGGTCAGATTGGCACTGTCTCTGTTCAAGTGCACGAAAGATGGATCCCGCTCACAAAAGCTGGATCCCGCGCGGGATCCAGCAGAGGTCAGATTGGCACTGTCTCTGTTCAAGCGCACGAAAGATGGATCACGCGCACAAAAGCTGAATCCCGCGCTGAGACAAATCTGAAGGCTTGCTTTCAAGCGCTTGAAAGCTGTAATCAAGCGCTTGAACGCCGTTCTTGCGCAAGAAAGGCCGTTCTTGCGGGAGGCGTTTACCTGAGTGCTGAGAACCCACGGGAAAAGGACACGGCGAGGCCAAGCTGCCAAAGGCACGCGGGAGAGCAGTTGCAGGAAGGAAACTTTACACAAGCAGGAAACAACACCCCAAGCTCCACCCAAAGCAAGCGGCAGAAGGACACAAGCCCAGAACAAAGGCAAGGCCTCAGGAAGCAGGAGAGGACGGCGAGTCAGAAGAAGGAACCCACGAAAGTTGAGACAGCTGGGAGCTCAAGTCAAGCAGGCAGAGAACAGCCAGGCACGCAAACAGAGGCTGAGCAGAAAGGAAAACAGAGCAAGGCAGCTGCAAAACTGAAGAGGCAAGCGCAAAAGCCCTTTTGCTAACCTAATACCCCCCCATGTGGGGTGCACCCCCCAAAACGCCCCACCCCAGCCACAGACCAACCCCTCACTCCTCCCTCCTAAAGGCCAACACAACTCCATTTGATTTTTGATTTTTGATTTTACACAGGCGGCCCCCAGCAGGAACCTAACAGCAGGAGAAGAGCCGCAAGAAAGAGCGAGAACAAGAGGCGCTGAAACACAACTCAAGAAAAGGACCAGCCCTACTGAGAACCCACGGAGAAAGGACAAGGCAAGGCCAAGCTGCCAAAGGCAGCTCCATGTGTGATTTTGTTTGTTTGTTTGTGTTTACATGAACAATTTCCAGCAGGAACCTGACAGAAGAGATTATGAGACTGGGAAAAAAGAAACCAACTGCCCACAAACTGAAAACTGAACCAAGGCAAAAGGCAGACCCTACTGATACCAAGACATGAAAGGGTGGCTGAGCCAGTTCAAAGAAGTCACGGCATAGCAGATGCAGGAAAGCCAAGAGCAAGGAAGCAGCAAGCTGAACAAAAGGTTCCCCTGAAATTTTTGTTGTGTTCTTGTAAATTTTAAATGTTCATATTAAAATTGATTCTCTCGTGCCATTATCCGAACGTTCAAGAAGCAACCGTGCCCGAGTGGTTAAGGGGCCTCCCTGCTAAGGAGGTGGTTTCGGCCGCGTGCGTTCGAATCGCATCGGTTGCGTTCCGGGATCGCCATGGAACACCGAGATAAGGCTCTGCTCCTGTAGTGTAGTGGTTATCACTCCAGATTCTGATTCTGGCGACCTGAGTTCGAATCTCAGCAGGAGCTTTTTTCTCGCGGCTCGATCGTGCACCTAGTAGGAACGCCAATTCCTCTTTTCTGGGGGGCGAACTCCTTTGCCTTGTGTTGTTTGGTTGGGTGAGGATTGAAAGAAAAGAAGCACGAACAACCATGCATCCCCATACGACCAGAAAATTCATGCTTGAAAGCTAACTCTGTGTTCTTTCCTGTAATGATCTCAATCGAGCCTTCTTCATCTACCACAGCGACGCTGATGTATTTCGGCGCTGACCTATTACGAGGTGCTTTAATATTTTCTTTCATTCATTTACAAGCTTTCAAGTTTTACGAGGTGGTCCAGAAGAACTCAAAATAACTTGCAAACTCCTGCGTTTTCGCGTGTCATGCGCTGGCTCTTTGTCCCTCCTCATCCCCTTCCTCCATCTCTCTCTACATCTGAGGAGTCCTTGGAGTCCTCAGACACCTCCAGAGCCCTTGCTCTCCCATGCCACGTCCCTGCCTCTGCCCCTYCTGCCCCTGGACGGTGTGGCATGCATGACCTATGCAGGTGCATATGCACCTGCCCCTGGCCCCCTCGTCCTCAGTTGGAGCTTGCAAGCTTGCAATTGCTCCCTCAAGTTGTCAAGGGCCCGAGCCCCTTCCCCTGCCTCCCCTTCCACGGTTGGGAGCTGCAGCTGTGGGATCCACAAACTCCCGATACCTCTGTCTAGACACAGCTGCTTGCACTTCTTTTGGGCCTGCTTGGGGAACCAATCTGCACTGCTACAGCCACGCTCCCAGCAACTGCATCAGTCATCTTTCGTGCCAGCTCTGAGTTGAGGCGGAGCGTTTTGGGAGGACCATCCTCCTCCTCACGCTTCCGCTTTCCATGTCAAAAAGGGTTCTCTGCCCCTTTGTAGTACAAGGCTGCATGTTGGGGCGCTGTAATTTGTTTCAGATAAAGCTGTATCGGTATATGTTACGTTTCTAATTAATCGCAAAATCCCCAAAGAGGCTACGGTAGGCCAGGAACTCTCCGCTGAAGGAGCGGTCCATCCGTTCTTGACTTCGAATTTACAAATTTGTCTTTTCGGAATGATGCTGCCTGTTGTCGAATGTCGTGGAGGAGCGGAAACAATATATTCCTTAGAGTTTACCCGGACAGATGTAGTTGCTATTGCAGCAAGCATTCTCAATGGGATGTGCTGCTATGTGGGGCGGACGAAGCATGGGGTTGGAGGGAGAGTTGGGGCTCTCTCCCGGTTCACTCAACTCCTTGGCCTGTGCATTCGACCCCACCTTACCCTGCATGCGTACTTTGCTGCCCACAGGGGCCTGCACCAAAGTGGTATGCTCCAAGGCAAAGCAGGATTTGGAGGTCTAGCGTCCAATACAGGAGCAAGGGGGTGTCCCCCTTGGGGGAGGGGGGCATTGATTTATTCAATTAACCAGATGACTAGGTCCTTTCCCAGGGGCTAACCTCAGTAATTCAGGTGAATTGGCATGCCAGGCAGGGGAAGCAGCCCCCCCTCCTGCTTTGCAAATTTCAATTTACCTCACTGTGAGAGCAAATTTCACATGTTCGGGTATGATGGCATCCCTAGGAAGGAAAGAAACGATGAAACATCTTTATAAATTGTCGCAAACACGGGACTGGCCTTAGGGTGAAATCCACACCAAAAAAGTTGAGCCCTCAGAAGGAACCCCGACGTCCCTTCGGGACTAGGGTTCAACTCCCTTACATTCAGCACAAGCTCAAGAAAAAAAGCTCCCATTTCTCACTTCTTTTTTGGCCTGCCCATCTCCTTTCCCAACCACTTAGGAGCTTCAATTCTTGGATTTTTTGACAGAAGGTGCCTTTGCTAGGTGCAGTACGGGGGGCCCCCTGCATGATTCATTTCAATTAACCTGATGATTAGGTCCTTTTCCATGAGCACACCACGTAAATGCCTGGAAAGGGTATTCGGAGCTTTGACCCCATCTTAGTGATCCAGAAAATCACACTCCACTTGTCTGTTTGCTTCATGCACGCCATATATGTGTGCATACAAAAAATGTGCACAAACACTTGGCAAAAAGGGTGGTGGCAAAAAGGAATTGTTTGATAAGCAGACAATCATGAATGTCAAAAGCACCATTCGAATTTGTACTCAACATTGGGGCCGATTAATAAGAACAGTGCCAAGAGAAGATTAAAAAAAAGCCCTAGGCCTCCGCACATCAAGTAAGGAAAGGGAGGCACATTAGCTCAAAACGCTACGAGTTTTCCGTGCGCAAATTGTACAGGGTGGGCATGGTGCTTTTATGCAAGTTTACTACATCTCTGTGGGTGAATTTTTGAATTGATCAAGGTTTTGGGCAGTGCAGACAGTCCCACCCGCCCGTAGAAAAGGGAGAATTGTATGCAGAGTGACCTCTGCACATTGGAGCTGTTTGGAGATTTCGTAATGCTGTTGCTGTGAGGCATGGGCATGGGGATCAGCTCTTGCATATCCATAGTATTTGACTTCTATCATCGCGAATATGACAGTTTTGTACAATTCATTGGGTTGCCTCGCCAATTGTGCTGCTCCTCGACTCTGTGCTGCCCCCCATTATGCGCAGTACCCGATGATAGGGTGAAGAGGATGGTCCATCGGGGGTAGAGGGGTGAGGGGTGACCAGGATTACATCAGGGCGGCTGGAGCTGTGCCTAGCTGCTGAGGTTGAAGAGGTAGGGTGGTAATAGATGTTAGAGACTTGCTCAGGGATGTGCAGGTCATGCTGGGCCGAACAGTCCGTGCTGCCTACATGTAACTGCACATGGTTTGACCCATGAGAGCTTTTGCTAATCAGTTTCATAATCATTCTGCGAGCGCTGTTGTGATGCTCAGTCATCATGTTCTGACGGGGCATTGGCAACCTGACAATTTGTGGTGAGCGCTTTCCATGTGATGGCATTCTGGGAGAGGGCAAACAAGGCTAGTGGAACCCTTTGAAGAGGACTGCATGCTTTTGATTGTGAACGGTGCAGTATTGGAAGATAGTGCGTTTCATGCAACGTGAGATGTAGGGCATATTTCCAGAAGGCAGTGCCAATGCTCTTGTTCGCAAGGGGTAGCAAACTTTGGTGGTATGTCTACTACCCTGCCTTGCGATCTGCATAGCCAGGCCTGTGGTTTGCATGCATAAGGGATTTTGAAGCATCTTTGAGGTCTGGGAAGTGCCCCAGACAAGGAGTAGAAGTGTGGGATTGAGATGGCCTAGGTTCTCAAGCCAGCCAAGTAGTATTGTGGAAGGGATTTCCTCTTGGGCCCGCGCTACGGAGTTCAGCATCAGCCAGATTGGTAACCTAGAGGGAAGCTTGTTATTTAGCAACCTTATCTGCGCATTTATTCCCTGCAATTGCAGCACAGGATTTGACCGAGTGAAAAAAACGTGTGATTTTGAGAGGCTCGGGCACTGTTAGAAATTGTCCTCAGAATGTCTCCTTGCACAAGCCTCCTGAGTTGGTGGGTTAAGGCTGGCTTTCCATGGCAATGCGTGTGTAATTGTGAGTGATCGCAGCAGCAGTGGCTGCCATTCTAGCTCTTTTTATGGTAGTGGCAGTACCAGCACCTTTTGGCTCACCAAATTACAAGTAAATCAATATTCATTGATAAGATTTCAAGGATGGTGAGGACTGAAACATTTAGAGTAAGTGCGTGCGTGCGTGCGTGAGTGAGTGAGTGAGTGAGTGAGTTAAGACTAGACGCAAAATTGATCCTCACTAGCTCTTCCTGTTCCAAACTTGGTGTAGGGTACTCAATTCATAGGAGCCAGTGTATCTCTTTTCACCCAGTTGAGGTTCCGCAACATCAGAAACAGGTACAGTTCTCACAGCCGTTTTCTTGATTCAGGAGGTTCCTAAATCCCCTAGCTTCCCACTCGCCTCCTCTGTTTCTTAGCTATCTTGGTGGTTGGGAACACAGCAATTTAGGCCATTGCATCTCTCATTTCTTTCATTGATACCGGGTGAGTCTTTTCTTCTGCCTATGTCATTTTCCTCATCTATTCTTTCCTGGAAAATATGCAGTAGCTTCCAGTACTATCCACTTCTGCAGCTATCGTTTTATGCTGCTGCTTACTCACTCACGCTGCTGTGAGTGATGGGAAACACTCACTCGTGCGGTTGAGTGTTTGAAGCAGTCGCGAGCATAGTAAATGACTTGAAGAGAGCATTAAAGAAAGCATGCCGGAGTTTCCACCTTGACTCATTTCACATAGAAGCACTGACCCTGTCAGCGCACTTGATCTGCACATACCTTTGACTCATACCTTGACTCATACCTTGACTCTTACCTTTGACTTACCTCACATAGAAGCACTGACCCTGTCCGCGCACTTGATCCAATTTGTCACAGCATTCACGCTGAGGAAGGCCAAAGCATTCCTGTGTGCCAAATGGGGTTGCTGCCAGGGTGGCCCCTGCTGGGGGAGATGTAGGTGGAGATGTGGGAGGGTAAGGGGGGGGGCTTTGAGGTGAGGATGGTGGAGAGGGCGAGACAGGTGGGGAAGTGGGTGGTATTGGGGAACCTGATGGGCAGGGGCAGGGTCCCTGCAACACAGCCAAGGCTGAGGCAAAGGCAGAAGCCGTTGCTTCTGCCACCGCGTCTGCCACTACACGGGATTCTGCTACTGCTGTCCCACCTGCAGGAGTAGCGAAAACAAAGTAATAGTTGAGGGGAAAAGGTTGTGATGAGGACCTCTGCCATTGTCCTAAATGCATTCTTGTATGTAGATTAGGTTGGAATATCGACCGAGGGTGATGGTTTCAAGAAGTCGGTGGGGCCGTCCAGAAGGCACCCTGCAACAGAATTACAGGCCACCTGCATGGTGGAATGAAGATGATTATTTTCCCTTATAACAGGGGGGGGGGGGGGAATGCGAGCTAGCATGTGCAAGGCTGACAACCCACCAGC